CCTTTGATAGTTTTATTTAATTGATCTTCATCGAAGAAATTAGAGGGCAGAATATATAGAAAATTTAGCTCTCTATATCATCCTAGTGAATGTGAAATTAAATTTTATTTAAATAAAATAAAATAATTTAAAATTAAAACTTTAATTTTTAAAAAATTTAAATTAATAAACATTTTTTCTTATATATAACTCAATTTAGAATATTTATTCCCCTTTGATAGTTTTATTTAATTGATCTTCATCGAAGAAATTAGAGGGCAGAATATATAGAAAATTTAGCTCTCTATATCATCCTAGTGAATGTGACGAGGCACGAGCTCCCACTAACACTACCTAATATCTAATCACCTCACAGTTGTCTGACTAATTGTCCCAATGAAACTGCCAAAATTGTTGTATTATTTTCTAGGATTTTTCCAATCGAATTGAAAATGTTTTCCTGTCAAGGAGGAAAATGTACCTGCACAGGCCTTCTTTGGATAAAAATAAAAAATGGGGTAAGAAAGTTTGAGTGTGACCTGGGCTTTTTGAAGAAAATGGAAAATACAGCCAGACATCCATTGAACCATTGGTGATCATGAACTGCTTTTCAAGTTTCAACATTATTTTTGGTATGAATTTCACCTCTGTACGCCTCAGCATTTGGCTCGTTGTGTTTTCCATGTGGTTTCCCTTTTTCCTTTCTCTTCTTTTTTAGGATCTCACGGGGAACATGGTGAGGTTGACGGAGTTGCTTACGTGGAAAACACTATCTTTTTGTCCAAACAAATTGCTTTGAAGTTGGGTTTAGGGACGGTTACACACCTTTTTCCAAGGAAACTTACATTGATAAATATGTATTAGCTATTGATAATGATAAGACTCGAATCTAAGAACAAAGTGTTAAAAGAGATTAAACTTTATTAGTTGAGTCAATTTTTGAGATTAATGAGAAAATATTTAAAGTAAAGAAGCTAATTAGGTTACAATCTAATATATATATAGTTATTATTTCTTGTCATAATTTTCATAATTTATTTGTTCAAATAATTGAATACATGGGACTTGGCTTTTTTGAAATTGGAAAATGGACCAGTTCAAAAAAAAAAAAGGAAAATGGACTATAAAAAAAAATAAAAATAAATTGCAAAGTGAAAATTAATTGGCTAACTGAGAATCAGAGATTCAGAGCTAGCTATCACTAACCAAACTGAAAATGGCCAAAAAAAAAAAAAATTCCCAGGCTGCTGATTTAGATTTTCAGAGAGAAAAACTTCTATGATTTTATCCTGTGGTAGAGCATCGGCAACAATAGATTCTCCATTAAACCCCTTCTTTTTCAAATGAAAATGATTTTCTATCCCTTAGAAACAACAGTGTTCTGTGATTAGACACATGACTTCAGAATTTTTAATGCCCTCGAGTAGGAACCATAGTCCGATTGATTGGACAATGGTTCCAACTCAAATGGCATTTGCGACAATAGATTCTCAATTAACCCCTTCTTTTTCAAATGAGAATGATTCTCTATCTCTTAGAAACAACAGTGTTCTCTGATTAGACATCTGATTTCAGAACTTCAATGGCCTTGAATAGGAACCACCGTCCAGTTGATTGGGGCTGTTTGGTAGTGCTTAAAACTTAAAAGCATTTGCTTTTAAGTTCCACAAAACAATCCCAAATCCCTAACGGTGGTAAGTCAAGCTCATCAAATATGAGTGATTTTGTGTTTTTTTTTTTTCATGCGTCGACAAATATTAAGATAAATCAACGAAGTAAACTAGTTAATCTAACAAATTAAAATGTTAATATACTAGCAAGTTGCAACCATTATACACATAATTAAGACTTCTCAAAATCCCACATTGATAGTATTAGCTGAAGTTTACATTATTAACAAATCCATCCTGCCTCTTACAAGATGTTTAAATTTATAAAAATTTGAGATTTTAAATTAAAATTTTTAATTTAAATATTTAAATTAGTAAAAAAAATAATTTAATATCATATAAAATTATAAATTTATAATTATATCATGTTATTAAATAAATAATTATATATAATATTATAAATAAATTTTTAAATTAATAATCAATCATATAAATTATATAATATAATTATAAATTTTAAGAATTATGTAATATTATAATTATATCATTTTTATATAACTTGTAAATAAACATGCAAAAAAACTGTATATCTGCAAATAATATAAGGTTATGTACACGTAAAGCATTTCTATACTCGAAGACAAGAAAAATGCTAAACGTGCTCGTTTTCTTATTATTATTACAAGGCAGTAACAAACTACCTGCAAAATTACATGGCTATCAAGTCGTTGCGTATTCTTGAGTCTTACTCCAAAGAAAGTACCATAATGTATGGGCCGGCGTTGAACAGGTCATTTGCCTGAAAATGGCATGATTGTCACCCTTCCACTGCCCATACTTTCCGTCCTTTATCTTCCAACTTCTAAGAGTCCCGATCTGAGTTTCATTTTTCCTGAAAAAGAAATCAAAGGCAAATTGCCCACATCAAATGCTCCCTCGAGGAAAGAACCTTAGAAGTTCTTTTAGGTGGGTAGCAAAAAAGAAACTTGATCCTTTCTTATTTATTTATTTAGAAAACAAAATTACATGTTCAAGGGTGAAAGTTGTAGAGTACTAATACTTTATTTACTAGTTTATATATTAAATCTACTAATTATCGATGTAAATTATTTATAATCAAAATTACTTATAATTAATTAAATTCAAGAAGTAAACTTTAAATGCCGTCCCATCACTTATAAACAAGAAGAGAAGGAAGATATTTCTGGTGGATAACTTAGACTTTTGGGAGGTTGCTAAGTTTTTTTCTCCTGCCTTTTGTGGACTAACACCAAATGGTGAAATTGTTGCATTATTCATTGTATTTCTCCTTTCCCTTTTAATCTGTGCTTTTAAGTGCGAAACATCTCATAATGAAACTCACATTTCCCCACCACCGTTTTCATTGGAAATTGGAATGGCATTCAAGACTTGAGATGAGCTGCACGATCCAACATGTATTATAATTGTGTTCAAAATCCAATGTTGAATCTCATCACATGGATATTAGTTGCATAATTTCTTACTAACCCTGTCCTAAACAGTTTTTGATAGATCGAAAATATACATCAAATATTTTAATTTGTATTAAGATTTAGTTTTTTATTAAGATAATTATAATATTTATTTTCTTTTCAAAATTTCTCTTGTTGCAAAAAAGAAAAAAATTTGAAAATTTTCAAATAGATCAACTGATTGCTCCTCACACATCTCTTCTCGTCGGATTCAAATTCGAGTCCTTCCCATCTTCCATCTCCTCCCCACAATGTAACTTTGGTAAAAAATAAAAAATAAAAAGTTTGTTACCAAAATCGTCTTAATTTTTAATGGGTGTTTAAGTAATTAGCGTCCGCACCCCTTGTTTGACTAAAGTCGAAGTTTTCGACTTCAGAGGAGATAAAACTAGGCAATGACCTAGTAGATATCTAATGGCCCCTTCCACTTTGATTTCTTCTTTTTCTCCTTACATTGATCACAAGTTATACAATATAAAGTAATAATTATTTTTGTAAACCTCTTCAACTCGACACTCATCTCAAAGATTCTTTTTTAAAGTTTAAATTGTATATTCAAAGACTCCATCATACCGCTCGATGGATCGCATACATGTGAATTGATAAGGTTCCGTGTTTTAATGAGAAGTGAGAGATTACCTATTTTGGGAATCGAATTTCAGTTACTAACATTTTCTAACCTAATTATTAATCATTACTCTTGTTAAAAAATATATATATATTCAAGTTATGACATTAAAAAAATATAATGACATAAAAAAAATATTATCTCTTACCATATTCATAGTATTAAGTTTAAATCAATTAGCTTAAATTAAGAGTTTTTTTAAGTTTAACAGGGTTTTTTTAAGTACATAAAGTTATCTCGTTTGTTAGCTAATAGCTATTGCAATGATTCGGACCTTAATCTTAGATTTTGAAGTTGATAAGTTTTTATTGTCGAGGAATATTTATGGCCAAGATCGTCATGGGAATATAGTTGCTCTTCTCCCATCTTTGAAAAAAGGGCTGAAATTCTTCCAACAAAAAGTAGAGGGCATGGCCCCCAACAATTCCATAGGCATCTTCTGTCCAACCAATGTGCAACACCTTAACGTGGCTTGCCGCCACTTCCTCTACCCAGACATGGCCCTAAACACTGCCCTTGTATTCATTCAATGGAACCATTGATGACAACAAGAAGTCAAGAACACCTACCTATCCCCAACATAATATGTGCAACCGACAGTATCAAACTTTAAATATTTGGGAGTTGTTAACAATAAATTTACTTGTTCTCTTTTTGTCTACACAAATCCAAAAAAAACCAGACAGAAATTTCAATTTCTTGGAAAAAATGCACTTTAATTTTATTAGGATATGCTTGGCATTATGCAATTCTGAGATGCCAAATAGACCCACAATGCGGGTTAAAGGTGAAACAGTCATATCATGGTGATTAGGTTAGAAAATACCCTGAAAATGCTATGCCATCATCAGACATGAAGCCTAACTTTGGACTGAAGAAATTATGCAACGAATCTGTTCTTCTTTTTCCAACTCAATATCACGATTGTTCTTCTCTTTACTCATTCACAGGTCAAAGCTTATAATGGAGAATTGAACCCCACTTGAAGCTAGCCTTTGCCACACATTAACGTCACTGATGACCAAAAACCAAAGATCTAGAAAATGAAAATCAATTCAATTCTGGAAGTAGAAAAGTAATCCCATCACACATGTAATCACTAATAAGGACTTTAGGACATGAGTTTGTAAAATGAACCTCATTCCATATTTTATGGTTATATCATAATGATAAAACAGTAATTTATGATCTAGTAATTCCTCACATCATCATTAGCACAAGCTTTAACTTCTAATTAGACATCAGGGGCTTGGAGGAAATACCATGCTTTCTGTTCCCTTATTTGTGTAAAACTGGAGTATGATGTTGCTGAATAACTATAAAATGATACATGATTATGCCCGTTTTGTTCGCCTTCCAACATGCAGTGCCAATTCAGTGTCGATTTTGAGGGAGATGTCCAGTGCCTTTACAGAATGTGTGAGTGCACCGCTGCCAACATCAGCACAATAAATACGATAAATCATACTTTTTCAGTACTAAGTTGCTCCAGCATGTAAATGGTAATTGCTACAGAAAGTGGAAAACTTGAGAAAAAAAAAATTGCTAGTAAATTGCTGAGTCCACTGTATCATTTCCTTGAGAATATTCCATGCCAAATTTCACTTTTTGGCAATGTTGGATATTTGACTATAACAACATTCAAATATGGGTGATCTATTTTTCCAAGAGTGGGTTAAAGACCATAGTAAAAACGCCAAGCATTCAGCAACCAATATTACTTATGACAAGGTGAGTAGGTTGCAAACATGGATCATGTATTGATGTTCTTCACCTAATTATGACATGCCCATTTCGCCGTCTCTGTGACTCATGATGCCATTACCCATTGGCACAGAGCATGCTTCCTCTAGCAGGTCTCATTAATTGTTTAGGCTAATTATTAAAATGATAAGCAACCCTCTGCCTCTAGAAAAGAATATGCTTTCATTAATATGAAACACAACATCACATGTCAGTGGCAGCTTCAATTAGTTTCCATCATTTTGCAGAAACAATTTCCAGAAACAATTTCCAGACAGGGAGGGAGGGAGTTTAATTTAAGGAAAAGTCTTCAACAGTCCTTTTTCTTTTTCTTTTTTTTTTCCTTTTTTTTTTCCAAAATTTTTTTTCCTTCTGTTTAAAGAAAAACTCTGCACCTGGATATATAATCTTTTCAGCCAGCAACCTTTATCTTTTGCCTAAATCAGTACAGGCATCTCTACAGCTGCATTCTTTGTTTTCTATATTGCACCATGTAAGAGGCATTTGTTTCACAGTCAAGTAGAAAGGACTGTTTTCTTATAAGGAAAAATGTTAAATCTTCCTAAGGATGACTAGAAAGCATGTTCTATATTCATACTTATAAACCTTGTTTTCAGTAGCAGAACTCAGAAATTACAATCCAAAACCTGAAATACATATGGCTCCCTTATGGTACCATGCCACATATAAAGCAGAAATATCTCTTATCCATAATTGAGGCCTCCTCATGTAAGTGCACAGGTAATGAATCACATTCTATCAACATTTGCACAAAAAGTACAAATATAATTTTAGTTTTTAGATAGAAATGCAACATAAAATCACTACAGCTAATATCAGAAGCGGGAATCCCACTGATGGATGGTTGATTTTTATGTGACATATCACCCCAAGTTTAAACGAAATTGAGGGAAAGTAAAACTTTTATGTTTACCAAAAGAATTTGCATGGAAAATGTTGAACAAAACAAAGCACATTATCAACACCAAGAGAAAAACAATACTGACATACCTAGATATGTAGGTCACCCCAGTCTGTCCGATTTTGTGTACAGTTTCAATAGTTACATTGCCTGATGCCTGTCCGAGTAAAACATATTGGTTAACATGCAAACAGAACCCTATCAAACTAATAGCAATAAGGTAACAGAAAAGCACAAGATGGCTCCAGAGAACAGGAGAAGCAGTTTGGTCAGCCAAAATGAAATAGAATTAAGAAGAAAAACTAAAAGTTTGATTTTAGTCCTTTTATACTTTGCTTATTTTACTTTTGAAGACCCAACAACCAAACAAATAGAGAAAATAATTTCCTTGAAATATATGTAATGCTTGATTCCATGGCAGCCAGGTTAATACTCTCCAAGGAAGGCAGACAACATTAACAGTTCTTCAAGTCAATATGTACCAGATAAAAGAAACCAGATGGTTAAAAGCTATCAGTTACCTCAGTTTCAAATTTCCCCCTGATTAGGTCAACAGCTTCTTTAAGCATAGACACATCAACATCCCCATTAGGCAAAGGTACAACCATATTATCCAACATGATCCGGGTCAAGGAAGTCTTTGTTTGAGATGCATACTGCAATGCCTCTTTTACTTCCTCAAGTGTCCTGGTCTCAACCTTGCAAGAGACAGTTTCATTTAATCAACTAGAGTTCCCATGCAACAAGCATCTTCCATAAGTAGCAATTCACAGAAACACATAGAGATCAAGAGAAAAAAAGAGGGCAAAGAACCATTGTAAAGCATTACACAAATTTCAATGGTAGGACAAATCAGAATTGTTTTAAAGTCAAAGAAACTGCTCATAAATAATTAGCACATTCAAAAGAAGTTTATTAGGCATGCATGGCACATCATGAACTGCATGGAATTCAATACATTAATTTCCACTCTAAATCAACTGATCTACCGGAGAAGGTATTTGACTTTAGTAGAAATAAGAAGTCCAAAAAACTACCTCAACCTCCATTTGAAGATTCTCCTGCTCTAAATACTTGTCAACAGATCTAAGAGCATTGGTGATACCTCCAGCAATTGATATGTGATTATCTTTTATCATCACCATGTCAAACAAACCCAATCTGTGATTGCTTCCACCACCAATTAGTACCTATATTATCAACCCAAAAGAGGTTATAAATACAAGATCAGAGAAATGACAACTTGAAAAAAATAAATAAATAAATAAATAAAGAATCAAAGGCAAGGAAGTGATTTACACCGCCCACTTATCCACTAAACGTAGACCTGGAGCAGTTTTTCTTGTCTCTAAAACGCAGGCAGGGTGTGCAGCATCAGCCATGGCCTACAGGAAGAACAAAAATGTGAAAATGTCCTTATGCACATTTAATAATGATAGTCAGTAATAAGTATTTGCTAGATGTCATGTTTTCACTCCATTTGCTTCACATTGGAAACACAGTTTGCATTTTCATAAAATGCATCTTCCTAGTGTTCTTTCCTCAACAACAATTATAATCTACAGTATCATCAATATATGGAGGTCCAGATAGTCTTATTAACAAGATACATAAAGCAGTAAAGCAGTACAGAAAAAGTTCAAAATATAGGAAAGACATAAAGGAAATTGTGGTTCAAACTTTAGGAACGATCAAAGAAGTAAAGAAAACTGTGTCAACCAAGAAAGCAGTTCTAATTTTACCTAAGTACTCTTATACTAGTCAATGCTACTCTCTTAGACCTGCATAACAATTCACAGAAGAACTGCTTTGTCCACATTTCCAAGAAGACAATTCCCTCATATGTGATCCAATATGGTAACTGTTATCTACTAACTTGATTGCAGAAATACTGAACTACAAGAAACTACAATTGAACTTTATTCCGAAGTAAAAGGAAAACAGACCTTAGTTAGGGTTGCTATTCCACTCATTCGCTGCATAAAGTTCAATGCTACTCTTTCAGCAATGAGAATGCTGTGTGCCCGTCCTGTGTTGGAAGATAAATTTGTGATTATTAAAATTATTTTTTTTCTTTATTACAAACTTTATTCAATATTCATTGAATAAAATTTCATGAGATTGCATTTCCCCAGCTACAAAGGCACTGCTTACCATATACTTTTCCAAACTGCAGTCCCTTATGAATACGATCTCCATCCTTTCGAGACCATTCCACCTGATATCAAGAAGTAGATAGAACAAATCATATCCAAGCATGCAACCTGAAAGAATCTGAAAACACAGACACAGTGCCTCTATACCTTCAGAGAAGGATCAACCTCTTGAAACACCATCTCTGCAAGTGCAATGCCAGCAACGATACCATCCTCCTTTGCCAAGAAATGAGCTTCAACTTCCATTTCAAATGGAATGGTGGCCATACAAGTCACATCCCCTAAAATTGAACCACAGATGTTACCCAGAAATGTTCAAAAATTAACAACACCATGAAATTGAAAAGACTGAAATGGATGGATAGGACTAAAAACCTCGATCTCCAGAATCTTCAGAAAGGGCAAGCTTGATGATGCCCTTTAAATCATAGGTAGGGTGCAAAGGGGGCTTTATTGCCAAGGATTCAAATGATATTCCAGCATTTCTGGTTTGAGTAGCAGACATTCTAAAAACCTGCCTGAAACATCAAACCATTATAATCAGCATCAATCAAAAAAAAAAAAAAAAAAAAAAAAAAAAAAAAGAATAACAAATTAACAGACCTTTTGGTTGTACATAAATTAGGTAATGATAATGAAGAAACAGAAAGTGTCCCACGCATTAGCTTTTGCATTTGAAGGACTTGCAATATAAAAGCAACAGTCTTCTACCACAGCGACCTGTGAACCAATATTCAGAATAAAGAAGCACTAGCTAAACCACGAAAATAGGAAATCATAAAACCAATCAAGAACACCGTAAGAATACCATCCCCAATGACATAACTCATGAGGTCAACAATAAGGAATGCCTTGTCCAGACATATTAAGTATAAATTAAGATTAAAAAATTTAACACAAAATGAGCCCTATTTCAAAAACCCAAAAATCAACCCCATAAGGCTTCCTCCTAAATTAACCAGATAATCAGAGAAACATATATATTTCCATAGCTAAAGCTACTGGGGCACTATGGGTTGGAGGGCTTGCATCAATGAAATCAAACAAGTTTTTTTCTTTTATCAAAAGGGTTTCTTTTCGATTTCATATGACAACTTATGGCAGCATGTTTAACATGTTTGAATAAAATGGAAGAATTAAACATGGGAATGCATAATTGCAGAAGAATGATCAAACACTAAGAACACTGAAACAGTAAGATGTAAAAACAATTAAGAGTACTAGTACAGTAAAAGAGTCGCCCAAGGATTGGGGATTTGGGTTGTTCTCCACTCACCGTAGATTACGTTGTAGAGACTAAAGATTCCGGTTGCTCAGTCTTTGGCGCCGACTGGACTAAATCGCCCTATCTCTGTGTTTAATTTAACATACAAATTGTACTTCCTAAATATTCTCATTTTTACTTCTTCTTCTTCTCTCTTTTTTTTTTCTCATCTCTCCTCTCAAAAGCCATCGCAAGAGTATGTATTTTTTTCTCTCTTACCAAAATGAAAAGGGAAAAATACGAGTTTGTGATTTGAGGTGCTATACTTTAAACTGTGTTAAATTATAAAATTATTATTATTGACAAGAAACAACTTTATATTTAAAAGTTGTTTATCATGCGTTTTTTATATAAATTTTATATATTTTATTTATATAATATTTTAATAATTTATATTTTTTTAATAATTAAAATTTATTTATTTTTATCATATTTATTGAAAATATTTTTTATTTAAATAATATTAATAAATCTCAATTATTAAAAATAAAATAATAAATAATAAAAATTATATATATAATTATAAATATTTTATATAAATATATACATTTTTATTTATTATTTAATAATTTAAGTTGTCTTATTACATTTTTCAAAAAAAACACAAAAGGGTTTTTTTTTTTCTCTTAAACAAGTACAATTTAAGGATAGAAAAATAGGTAAGAAATAACATGACAACATCACGCCGCAAACTTTGATTATTGCTAATACATTGGGTGCACTTAACAACTTCCCCATAAAATCGTAATGGAAAAAAAGGTTGAGAATTGATAGTAATATCATACTTCAGTTACCTCATACAGCTGTGGTTTAGTTGGATTGGACTTTTTTGGTTGACATCACAGTATCAGAATCTAC